GCACTCATGCAAACAGGGGAGATGCAGAGAGGGAGGGAGAGAGAGAGAATCCTGAGCGGACTCCACGCTCAATGCAGAGCCCGACGCGGGGCTCAGTCGCACGAACCGTGAGACCATGACCTGAGCCACGATCAAGAATCAGACACTCAACCTCCGGAGCCACCCAGGCGCCCCACGGCTTGAGATCTTTGAACGCTGTGGCCCTCGGGCTGTCAGCTGTCTTGCCACAGTTTAGGAAGGTGCCCCAAAGGTGCTCATGGTCAGGCCTCACATTCTGTAGCATTAAATGCAAGGAATGGGTTCCTGCTCTGGGTCCTCCGGAGGGCCCCAGCAAACCGAGCTTTGGCGAAGCGGGTGCATGACCTTGTGTTCAGTGGCTGCAGCCCTGATCAGTCCACCCATGCCCACAGCATCCATACTGGTGACCGTGTGTGGGTCTGTGAAACTCACGATCTCACCGAGACTGTGTCGGATCCTAGGAAGAGCGATGGTGACCACTTACTTGGAGAAATGTGTCCGTGTCTGTGAGTTACGTTGTCACCAGCAATTGCAAGTTTATGGAGGACACAAAGACAAGACTGTGTGCACGACCTTCCCTGAAAGTATGATTTACACTGGCTGATACGACGCCAGCATTCAGGCTGTGAGGCTAAATCCGCCGCAAAATTTCCGCTGTCCGTGGCACGGTTACACTCTGATATTCAGCGTGTGTAGATCATTCAAAACCACATTTGCTCACTGACCACACGAATCCAGATGTTCAAACCCTGATACGTTGCTGGAAGACGTGTGATGCTCTTTCTCGCTGCTGGGAAAGGATCCAAAGAGGCTGAACAACATGCTGAGGGTATGGGGATAACACAGAACCGGTTCAGGAAGCTTCTGGCCTCCCGTCTTGGGAAGAGGGTTCCAGCCAGCTGTGCCTCCAGTATGAGTCTGGGCACCTGTATGGGATGATAGGTTACACTGCATGTTCTTCCTGGAGGTCTATCAGATGTAAACGGATTCTACGGAACGACACTTCACCGGGACAGCATGGAATATAGCAATTTAGGCTACTGGTATTCTCCAGATGTTTATTAAAGATACAGATCTTAATTGGTTAAAAAAAAAATAAATGGGGTGGACAGTTGGGGAGGGGGAGATTTTTTAAAAGAAGAGCAGAGCACCCAACTCCGATTGAACTTGACCTTGACTTTGGCCTGGCTCACATATGGAGCCCTTGCTGTTTGGGAAAACAGCATTCATTTATTACTCTCAGTATAAAGATCAAGAGAACATTAAACGCATCTGATGGCTGTTTCTATAGCTTGGAGTTAAACATTGACTCCAGTTGGTCAAGGCCGCGAGGGTGGCCGGCCTTGTTTCAGAGGCAGAGGGCTGGGCTGGACTTCCCCACCGTGCCGGCTCTCCCGGCTGTGCTCTGTCATTCGTGAGTGAAAATGCCGGATGGTTCAGTATAAACGTTTCGTTTCAAAGACCGGCGCAAGATGACGTGAACAGCGTCACTTAGACTCGGAGCGTCTGGGACAGGAGAGGTCAAATGTTCCGCCTAGCCGCCTACTAGCTGCGTAACCGTGGGCAGATTAGTTGACCTTTCTGGGCCTCAGTGTCTGCTTCCGTAACATGGGAGCAATCGCAACATCTACCTCCCAGAGGGGATTCAAGCTTAAGTGAGGCAGTCCGTGTGCCGTGCTCAGGACGAGGCCCGGCACGCAGAGTCACATGCCTCTCTGCTCATGTGACTTGATGGAAGCGATCCCAGGGAATTTAAGTTGTGCTCTTTCTTCTCATGGCTTATGGCACTATATATTATCATTAGGAGAACATTCTTTGTATTGGAATTTGGCTATTTTCCTCTAAGGAGGTCAAAGTTGAGATAGTGTAGGAAAGGCAAAAGTATTGGACCTGGGTTCAAATCTGGGCTCTGCAACTCACTAGCTGTGTGGCCTTGGGAAAGTCGCTTCACCTCTCTGCTCCTCATCTATAACCTGAGAACCATCACTCGAGAGGGTTGTGGATGGATTAACACAGATGGGAGATGGGAGTCTGCCTGCCTAGCACGCAGTGGATGCTGAATCTGTGTTTGCCACCCCGTCTCCCCTTGTTCGATAGCACGAACCCAGCAAACGTACTGGGCTGTGGTTTCCAGGATCTCTGCCCAGAGGCCCTGGGCGCTCTTCCATCCACACCCGCGAAGACTTGGCACATGGAAGGAACCAGTGCAGCTCTCGGTACAGACCTGTCTGCCTGGCACCTGGCCCTCAGTTTCCCCATCTCGTGCCTGACCCATCCCCAGTCCCCAGGGACGGGTTCTCACCCTCTCTCCACTCCCCGCCCTGCGTCTGCCCGCAGCCTCGGCATCCCCATACTTGTAGCTCCACAAGACCCCACTCACCCCATCATTCCCCTGAGACCCTTTCAGCCGCAGCTCCCACTGGGACCTGCTTCCGGGGCCAGCATTTCCATCTTGCAGACCCCGGGACGTCTGACTGCTGCAGCATGGCGTCAGGACACTTTCTGGAGAAGGAAGAGAGGACTTACGTGTCCTCATTGGAGGATGACTTGCAAACTTTGAACTTTGCACTCTCCCCCTTACTGGAAACAAAGCAGGATCAGCACCAGTTAAGAACTGTTTTTATCCAAACACACGTCCCCGTGTTCTGCAGGTCTAGCTGGAATCAGTCTTGACCTGTAGGCCTGAGTTCTGGCCAAGGAAGAAATAAACAGCTTAATGTAAAAAAGAAGTCATCAGTATGTTCCACGACCTTTTAGCTCTCTGCTAATGGAACAGACTCTGGAGGGACTCCCTTTTCATTTTAAGATCAAACAGAAGACAATAAAAGCTGGCTGCCTCATGCCTTGAAATAAGGGCAGCGTTGGATTTTAACTGGACTTTACGTTCACAGGGTTCCATTGTGTTACATAATTAATTCAAAAACCCTCTTTGATATCCAAAGCAATTATGGAAAATTAAGAATGCATTTAAATAGGTTTTTTAATATCATTGCTTTGTATAGCTTGGCACACTGTGTGTGTGTGTGTGTGTGTGTGTGTGCGCGCGCGCGTGACAGAGAGGGATGGAGGGAGAGACCTATCCTAGAATGGTTCTTTGCTTCTCTGAGTTTTGGTTTTCTCTCTTATGTAAAGGAAACGATAATATAGTGTCTAGTTATTCCCCAGTCTAATGGAAAGTGCCAAGAAAGAGGAGGGAACATTTCCCAGTTGCCACATATGTCCTGGGAAGGCCAAAGACGAGCAGGGACATTGAAGGGATCTCTGGGGGTTACTTATGGTTAGTCACCCCACACTTACCATGGTGGGTTCTCCACAGCCGTCTTTAGTAAGGGATCAAGCCTGGGGGGCACCTGGGTGGCTCAGTCAGTTAAGCATCCGACTCTTGGTTTTGGCTCAGGTCATGATCTCACCATTCATGGGAAAGAGCCCTGCATTGGGCTCTGTGCTGGCAGCTCAGAGCCTGCTTGGAATTCTTTCTCTCTCTCTCTCTCTCTCGTTCTGCCCCTCTCCCACTCATACTCTCTCTGTCTCTCTCAAAATAAATAAATAAACTTAAAATAAAAACATTTTAGGGGCGCCTGGGTGACCTTAAGTGTCCGGCTTCAGCTCATGTCATGATCCATGGTTTGTGAGTTCGAGCCCCGCGTCGGGCTCTGTGCGGACAGCTCAGAGCCTGGAGCCTGCTTCGGATTCTGTGTCTCCCTCTCTCTCTGACCCTCCCCTGCTCACGCTCTCTCAAAAATGATAAATGTCATTTTTAATTCTTTTTAAAAAGACTTGGGGGGCGCCTGGGTGGCGCAGTCGGCTAAGCGTCCGACTTCAGCCAGGTCACGATCTCGCGGTCCGTGAGTTCGAGCCCCGCGTCGGGCTCTGGGCTGATGGCTCAGAGCCTGGAGCCTGTTTCCCATTCTGTGTCTCCCTCTCTCTCTGCCCCTCCCCCGTTCATGCTCTGTCTCTCTCTATCCCAAAAATAAATAAACATTGAAAAAAAAAATTTAAAAAAAAAAAAAAAAAAGACTTGGGATTAAGACTGCCCTTTACTTCAGCAACATGCTGAGCTCAAAAGCCTTGCGGGTCTAGCCTGGGAACGCCCCTCTCTACATTTATTACCATGCAAAAGTGTGAAATGGATCTCAACCAAATGACTTGTACCCAACACTTTTTTTTTTTTTAATAAAAAGCATCTGTAAGTGGGGACTGCCTGTATTGAGCCATTTGATTATTCACTCCCAGGTAATTTCTGAATGTCACAACTCGGGCACAACTCAGGACGAGGTGATGCTGGCATCCAGCCAAACATCCTCCAGGGCACAGGACGACCCCCAACAGAGTTATCTGGACCCAAATGGCAGTGGTGCCGCTGAGAAACCCTGGTCTCTATGTACTTTTGGATATACACTTGCATACGGATTAAATTTTGACAAAATTTGGGTAGTTTTTATAATCTGACCTTTCACATGCTAATGCTGTGGGCATCTTTCCATGTCCATAAATATTCAAACTGCCCACCTCAGTACCATGAACAGATACCTGATGTTCCTTGTCCACGAAATGGTGGAACGTGTCATAGTCTGTTTAGCTGCCCTCTACTGTTTTCTCTTTTTGTTAAAAGATAGTACTAGGATGAATATTTTAACTTACATTTTTGTGTACTGGTCCCGTCATTCTCTTAGGATGAACCCTGAAATGAGATGCCTCAGTCGAAAGGAATAGGAAGGCAGCATCAGCTGGTACTCACACCAACGGGACATGAGAATGCCTGTTTGCCCACAACTTCACTAGCACTGGGCTTTCCTGTTTTCGAGAACCCTCAGTGTTTTGGTGGTGCCCAGGTCTGGCCAGACTCTGTGTTTGTGGGTGGTCTGGCTCAGATGGGGTTGAGGTCCTGGCATGGCTTCCGTTGGGGACGTTGGGCATCTGTTAGGGCAGAATTCTCATACCTACCATCTCCAGGGATCCTCATCATCTTTCTTTACTGCCAGGCTCCAGACACATCAGTCAGGCCGCAGCCAAAATCGACGTCGAATTTGATTATGACGGGCCCCTGATGAAGACCGAAGTCCCTGGGCCTAGATCTCGGGTGAGTTGAGCACACTTGAGTGGTGTCCTTAAGAACAGAGTGAGAAGGGTCCATGAGGCAAGAACACAGCCGAGCTTAGAGACCTGTATTCTTAGCTGCTTTCAGAGAGCTTACCACTAGAGTTCCAAGACATTCTGCCATAACAAGTCAAAGAAGGCTTCTCAGAGGAGATGCATCCGTTATTTGTTGTCACAATACTGCTGTGTAACAAACAAGTACAAAATCTCCGTAGCATACAGCTTGCTGCTGCATCTAGGGTTCACTGGGAGTTAGCCAGGCAGCTCTGGTGGGTCCATCTATGTGCCTGTGGGATGACTGGCCACTTTGGGATGATCTAGGCTAAGCTTGTCTTGGCCAGTGCAGTGACGTGGTGCTGCTTCATACGTCTCTAGCATCCTCCAGCAAGCAGGGCCTGGCTCGTCCTCACGGTGATAGCAGAGGTGACCACACTAGGAGTCTCATGAGGTCTAGGCTCCACTCCGGTCTGCCACCACTCCTACCTCATTCTCTTGACCTTGAAACCAAGTCAGATGGCAATGCTAGATGGTGGAGGGCAAGGGTAGCAAAGGCCCTTGGTCTTGACCTTGAAGGATAAAAAGGAAGAATTCACCAGAGGAGTGCATTCTGTTGTAGACCCGGTGGAGAGAGGTGTGCAGGGTGACAGGACGTGGCATATGAGACACACTGGGATAGATGTTATTGTGTGAGATGGAAGAGGCACAAGACGAGTCTGCTGAGGGAGGCTGGGACTTCTCCTCAAAGATATTACAAAGCCTGCATATTACACACTTCAGGAGGCTGATTAACCTTGACTCTGTGTTGTGATGTACAACACTGTTTCTAATGTTCGCACCTAAAAAACAGCAGTGTAAACCTTTTTAATACACACTGGCTTTTTTCTCTGCAGGTTTTGCAGATTTTATCCGCAGTGTCACTTTTTTCTTTTTTTTTTTTTTTTACTGTCAGAAGATGCCCCTTTTTGAAAAATAAGATCAAAACAGAGGAAGGCAACCCATAAGAGACTCTTAATACAGAGAACAAGCTGAGGGTTGCTGGAGGGGAGGTGGGTGGAGAGATGGGGTAAATGGGTGATGGACATTGAGGAGGGCACTTTTTGGGATGAGCACCGGGTGTCCTGTGTAAGCGATCAATCACTGGGTTCTACTCCTGAAGCCAAGACTACGCTGCACGATAACTAACTTAAGAATAAAAAAATTAAAAAAAAAAAAATTCAAAAGAACATGTATGTAACTTACTGAGATGAACGTGAGAGTTTAGCAGTTTTGTGGGCACAAAAGTCATTTGGCATCTATATCTTCCAGCAACAAGCAGAAATGAATTTTTTAGAAGATGACAGTACTAATTATAATTACTACATACTCCTTAATCTACTGTGTTTCTACGTGACTGTCCATTCTCATCGAAACTAACGTAAAAATGTTAGTTTCTAACTAGTGTTCTAACAAGTTTCTAACTTGTTTCTTCCAGTCTTCATTTCCTTGTGAAGACTCCCATGTCATGTAAAACTTAAATTTGTATGCTTTTCTCCTGTTTAAAAAAAAAAAAAAGATAGGACTTTTGTCATTGCAACCACTTTATAAATCCAGAAATCTTTGTATTAATGCAAGTGATTGTAGTTATTTTGATAGTGTTTTGCTAACAGAAGGAGAGACATTTTCATGCATATTTCTATGGAGGAGAGGCAGATTTTCATTTCATAGTGGAGAAGTACCTGGAATAATTTTTTATATTCTTGTCATTGCTACTGGTTGACTTTAGGCTGGATTATTTTTAGAGATTAAATACTTGTAATAGCAAAGCAACTAGGTCCCAATTCCCAATTTATAATTCCCAGTTTCTATATGTGCATGTGGTTTATGGAGTGTTTAGATTATAATTACAAATCATTCTTTGATGTGCAAGTTTCTGTTTTCAGTTGATTTTATATTTTCTAACAGGGTGTTAAAGCCTTTTTCCCCCCAAAATAAAAGGGGAACCTATGCTTTTATGAGCACCAGATAAACCCCTTTTGCTTAAGTTTTTTTTGTGTTAAATATTTTAGTTTACTTTATTATTATTTTCCAAGTTGCTAAATCCCTGCTATCCTGGTAATGTAACTGGCAGGAATAGTTTCCTGCCAATTATTTATATTAAGCAATTTTTAAATATTTATAATATTGTTGGCTAATTGACTGTGAAGTTATTGGTATAAGTGGTGGGGGAGGGGGAGATGCCCCAAGACCTGGGAAGATATGAAAGACTTGAAGCTAGTTGGGCAAGAGTGTGTCCTTGCTCTAATGCTTTGTTATTCTTGCCTGCAGGAGTTAATGAAACAGCTGAATATGATTCAGGTAAGTGAGGATGAGCTCACCCTCCAAGCTTCTCTGTTAGGACTTAGCTGAGAGACACACTTCCTCTGTGCTAGCTCTTTAAAAAAAAAAAAATGCAACTTTGTTCTAAACCTTTTTTGTTTTTTTGCTTCTAATTTCCCTTGTGAGTTCTTCTTTGACTCATTTGTTACTTATGTGGTGTTTAATTTCCACTTTTTGGTGAGCTTCTCCTTTCTGTTACTCATTTCCAATTTCATTCTGTTGTGGTTGGAAAATATATTTTGTGTGAATGCAATCCTCTCACTGAGGCTTTTATATGGTCTGTCTTGGAAGATATTCCCCAGGCACTTGAGGACAACGTGTACTCTACCACTATTGGATGGAGTGTTCTGTAAAAGTGTCTGTGGGATCTGTCGGTTGAGAGTGTTGTTCCAGTCCTGGTTCCTTGTTAATCTTCTTTTTTTTTTTTTTTTAATTTTTTAATGTTTATTTAATTTTGAGAGAGAGAGACAGAGAACTAGGAAGGGCAGAGAGAGAGGGAGACACAGAATCCTAAGCAGGCCCCAGGCTCCAAGCTGTCAGCACAGAACCCAGCGCAGGGCTGGAACCCACAAACTACAAAATCATGACCTGAGCCGAAGTGTGACACTTAAATGACAGAGCCACCCAGGCTCCCCTTCCTTGCTAATCTTCTGCCTGGTTGTTCTATACACTATCAAAAACCAAATATTAAATTTGCCAGCTATTCTCTTATAACTATATTTTTCTTATATGCTTCCCATTTTTGCTTCCTGTATTTTGGGGCTCTGTTATTGGGTGCTTACATGTTTATAATTGTTATATCTTCTTAGTGGACTTCACCTCCAGAAGCATTTTTGTTTCTTTGTTTTACAGGTGATTTTGTCTGATTAGTATAAACCATTTCAGCTTTCTTAGGATTGCTGTGAGAATCATGTACCCTTCTCCATCCTTTTATTTTCAACATATTTGTATCCTTGAATCAAAAGTATGTCTCATGTAGACAGCATATAGTTGTATCTTTTTATCCAGTCTGACAGTTTCTGATTTTTTATTGGGCTGTTTCATGTGCACACAGTTAATGTATTACCTATGTGGTGGTATTTACATCTTCCATTTTACCTTTTGTTCTCTATGTGTCTCATATTTTTTGTTCCTCTTTTTTTTTTTACATTCAGTGGATATCTTCTAATGTACCATTTTCATTTCTTTCATAGTTACTATATATTTTTCAGTTTTCTTTGTGGTTGCTCTAATGCTTACCGTGTACACCTTAACATCAGAATCTTCTTCAGATTTGTATCTGAACCTTCTGTTGCTATGATATATAAAACACATACAGGAAAATTCATAAAATACTAATTCACAGCTTAATAAACCATTATAAAGCAAACCATTCGTGTAAGCAACCAAATATACCCTCTGTGTGACCATAGAATGGACAAAACATGGCTTACCTCACCAGTTCAAGCTTCATCCCAAAAGATGGGGAGTCTAGGGGATTGTAGCGATCCTGAACCAGTCTCTACTTTCCCCAAGAATGCAGATGCTGTGCATTTTTTCTGCAATTACGAAGAGAGCCGAGGCAATTACCTGGTCGATGTGGATGGCAACCGGATGTTGGACCTTTACTCCCAGATTTCCTCTGTCCCCATAGGTAAGAGCTGGGAAATCCACCCTTGGATGTATGCCCTCTCTCTGTTAGTTGTGGCCGTCCTGACTTTAGTTGCTCCCTCCAGCAGGCCCATCCCTGTGTGTTGCCAGACTCCTTCCTCAAGGGCAGAGAAAAAGAACAAGTCATGGGTAGAGGGTCTATCATAGGGACTTTAGATGTCTTCTCTTATTTATTCTTCCTGGAAAACCCGCAGGGTGAGTGTGTATTAATACCCCCATTTTGTTGATAGATAAGCAAAGCTCAGAGAGGGGATTGATGCAGCTTGCGGGGGAAGCACGGCCAGGACATGAACCCAGGTCTGCGGGACCACAGCCTCCAATGTCAGCTGTCTTAGGTTGGGTCTCTTGGAAGAAGAGCCTGAGGCAGGGGTTCTGTGCAAGTCGCTTATTAAGGGCACACTCTCAGGAGACTGGGGAGGCAGGGAAGGGTAAGAAGGGGGAGGTTTCAGCCAGAGACTAGCCACAGCCTGATCCCACAATGGGGCGTGCGGGGTGGCTCTGGAGCATGAATTGCACCCTAGAGTTGGTCCCAGACTGTGCCAAAGAGGCCGGCCTTTTTGTACCCAGTGCTAGTCAGTCATTGCCCATTAGCTGCCAGAAGGAAGCACGTGGCTCGTCTTTTGGGCGAAGGAGCTTCCATTCACCAAGGGCAGATTTCCAGAGAAGGAGGTGGCTGGAGCCATTCCCAACCCCCACGTGGGCAGCCAGGAGAGGGGTGGCCGCCTAGTCAAGGTGAGCGGTGGGGGGCCACGGCCGCGTCTGCCTCACCAGGCTCACCTCCGGGCTCGCTGCCGGAGGAGGGCGCGGCAGACGCGGGGCACGTAGGGCTGACTCAGACACGCAGGTTGCTGCTGTGCTTAGTGGTCTGTGGGCTAAGCGTCTCGTCTGGTGAAGCCTGTCCCTTGGTGCATGATGCCAGCCCCTGTTTATTTCCCATTAAGATGCGATTAGACACTAAGGTGACTCGTTCTTTTTGGGAAGCCCATCATTCAGAGATGCTTTGGCCTCTGAAGGCGTCTGGGGTTCTGTGATTTGCACAACCCGGTCCGTGCTCTGTGTCGGAGTGGAAGGGCCAGGCTGTAGTTCTCAGGGTCAGATCCCGGTTCTGCCGTGTATCGGCCACGGGCTGCAGGCCATTCTCTTCCCAGCTGGCTCCTCCCTGCCCCCCCCCCCAAGCCCCCGAGGGCCTCCCTCACTTCTCAACCCCAGCCGGCCGCCAAACCTGTGGGGTCCTGGGGAACAGGCCGGCACAAGTTGGGAAAATACTGGGAGCTGTGAAAGTTTCCTTGCGGCCATTTTCTTTCCCTATCTCTAGTCTTTGATGGGATTTTTTTCTAACTGGTCACTACTGGGGATGTGCCAGATGCCAGGCACATTGCTAAGCACCTTACACATTATCCCGTTAGACCCCTGCAGCAGCCCCATAACATCGGGCCTTTCATCATCGTCTCCACCTTGCCCACGGGGGCCAGGTTTCAAGAGGCCATGGCGTCTGCCCAGCATGTCCAGGGAGCCCAAGGATTTGAACCAAACAGTGTCTGCCTTCTAAGTTTACTCCTGTGATAGCCACCTCGCAGACGGCCACCCCTGCCCTGCAGTGTGGGGGTCCCACAGCTTTGAAAGCTCAGGCGTGGGTTTTCCTGATCCCTATGGACTGGCTTTGCTCTCATCTCTCCTTCTGAAGCCACTAAGACAGGCTGCATCTGTGACTTAGTAAGATTTCCCTGGAACTGGCTTATCTACTGAGGCAAGAAAGTCATAAACACCCAGGCAGCACAATAAAGAACCAGAACTGAAAGCCTCTGGCCACAGTACGGTTGGAAAAAACCCACAGAAGCCTGCTTCCTTGACTAACAGACACCCTGCAGCTGTGGGCCCAGCAGGCCAAGAAGTTGGGTGGGTGTTCTGAGAGGATGCTCACAGCTCTGTCCCCTGGGACACCCCCTCCCCCCCCCCCCCCCTTGTGGTGGGGCCCAGCCTCCTCCCACCAGGCAGAGTGAAACCACAAGGCTCTTCGAGCCCCTTCACTCTGCGATGCCGCAGAGGAGAAAGTCTGCCCGGGGTGACACTGGGGCCTCCCCTCCCCTCTGAGCTTGCTAGCCTCCTCTCCTCTCACAGGCCAGAGCAGGCCCCAGGCCCAGAGCCTCGGGCGGGCCTCTCTCCTTTCAGAGCAAGTGTATCTAAACTAAAAAGTGAGTTGGTTTAAAGAAAATAGGTCTCTCCTGTTGCGAAAGTTCCAGGCTCTTGCCGTGTCACAGATCCCCGTGTCATTCATCGTTCACCTGGTGTCCTTTGAGCGGCACATTTGGCCACTGCCTTGGAGGGTCTTCCAGTCTGGTCTCCTGACCTCTGTGGCCCCCGCGCGCCCCCTACAGACTTGGCCATCCCGTGGGAGTCACAGCCAGCGTTGGGAACGAGGAACAGAAACTAGAAGCACGGGCTTTGAGGCCGGGGTGCTCTGGCCCCAGTGAGTTTCCCTCCTTTCCGATAAAGGCTCCTGCTGACAGAGTATCGCGGGCTTTCTCTTGGTTTAAGGCTTCTGGCGTGTGTTAGGTTGCTTTTGGGCCTGGAGATATTGAAGCGTCATGGTTAAGGTTTGTGCGTTGGTCTACATTCGCGTGCGGAGGGCGAATTCATAGCAGGGCAGTTGCTGAGTCAAGGGGTATCCTAAGCCCTTTCATGCTGGGCAGTCGAGGCAGCGGGGCTCCAGGAAGCAGCAAACGCACGAAGGGTCAGGCGTGCATGTCATGGGGTTGCAGACTGCATCATTGACATGCTCAGTTCCTGAGCAAACGGGTATTGCGATTCGACTCTAGCAGCGGCCCTGGGAAGAAGGTGAGGGCCATGGTTCATCACACTGGCCCAGGGAAGCACTCCCAGCCCCAGTCCTGAATGTGCCTTAACCTTTCGTTCACTGCCTTGTCTAGGGTTCTAGCCCGGTAGGGCTCACACCCGGGTTTCAGGATCGACGAGAGAATTTGGTGAAGGTTTCTGGCGGCAGCCTGAGTGATTTTAAGTCCAGAGGTCTGGGTAGACCCGAGGAGTGGGTCTTGTTGTCTGCAAGAGATAACAGGGCCCCTTGTGAAGGGAGGGGCAGGCTGTGGGGGAGGGGCACAGGGACCCTGTGTGCCGTGTGGGCCTCTAACCAAGACCCTAACCGTGCCCCCTCTCCACAGGTTACAGCCACCCCGCTCTCCTGAAGCTGGTCCAACAGCCTCAAAACGCGGTGAGTCCCGGGTTACACAGGGTTCATGGAGATCCAGAGTGTCGTTGGGCAGCCTTGGGAAATACCCCATTCACTCACTCATTCATTCATTCATTCATTCATTCATTCCACAAATGTTGATTGAGCACATACTACATGCTAGGCACTTGAAATGCCTTGGTGAACAAAGCCACACAGTGCCCACTCCCACAGAGGCAGTAGGTAACCACACAGGTAAGTAGCGAATTGCATCCATATTAAGTGCTACAGAGAGAGGCAAACAGTGCTGTGTGGGCGCGAAACAGTCACGGTGGTGACAACGGTGGACATTTTTTGAGAGCATAATATGTGCCAAACGCCATGTTCACCACTTCACAGCTGTGATGTTGACAAGTCTGCGAGGCAGGTTCTGCTGTCATCCGCATCCTACAGATGAGGACACTGAGGCACAGACAGGTTAAGTATTTATCCAAGGTCACACAGCAGGAGGAGGTGCTGGGAGTTAAACCCACAGGAGCTGGGGGTTTGGGGGATTGCGGGGGCTGGGGGGGTAGGGAAGGATTCCGAGGAAGTGACCTTTGAGCTGAGATTGAAGGAGGAGGTGCCTCCAGGGCCCCTGCAGGGAGAGGGGAGAGGGGAGAGGCTGAGGAGTAAAAGAGGACAGCGTGGCCAGAGCCACGCCGGAGGGACCTGACAGCGTGCAGATTTAGGGACCACACAGGCTGATGTCAGCCTCGGCACTGGTGGTGGTTACAGAGGTGGTTCTCTGTGAGGGAGAGAACCTGCGAGCAGGTTCTCAGCTGCTCAGTGCCAGCAGCATCCCTCTTCAGCTCTGAGAAGCAAACCTGTCTGCAGACATTGCCAGGTGCCCCTAGTGGAGCGGAGGGGGTGGAGGGGCCCCGAGGCGAGCACCCCTGCAGGAGAGGGGCAGGAAGCCGCTGATCAGTCACACTGGATATAACCCGCGCAGAAGCGCGCATCCCTTCCAGCCCTGAGTGCCCTGCTCAGCGAATTGTCTCAGTTCTGCTTTGTTATCACTTCCTTAAGGAGCCCTTTTAGACACGATTTTCCTAATTGTTCCCGCCGTCACGCAGTTTTAATGCCACCACATTTCCTGTTACTACCGTCGCAGATTACCGCCGGCTTAGAGGCTTGCAACAACACCCGGGTATCTTGGCACGGATTTTGTGGGCCAGGGGTCTGGCGGGCTCTGCGTAGGGTCTCACAAGGCGCACAGAAGCTCTTAGCCGAGGCTCTGGGGCAGAATCTGCTCCTGTGCTCATGCAGGTCCCTGGCACCTCGTTCTCATGGTTTCCGTGCGGTCCCTCCGTCCTCCAGCCAGCAGTGGCCGGTCCTCTCTGCCTTCCTCCTATTTCTGCTCTTGGCCAAGGGCTCATGTGGTTGCACTCAGCCCACCCTGAAAATCCAGAACACTGTCCCCATCTGAGCTGATCAAGAACCTTAATCGCATCTACAAGTTCTGGGTCCCGGGGTGGGCAGAAATTGTGCCATCTACAGCACCCCTCTGCAATATGGTAAACGCATACCGTGTAGACGGTTGTGCTCCCCACACCACAGGGGGGAAGCGGTTTCTCACCCCAGTTGGGAATGCATGAATTGCACCTGGTCTCCCCACCATGCACCCCTGCCCAGATGCCCTTCCCCTAACGGCAGACGTGCGTTTCCTCCGTTCTTTACCCGCATACATGGAACCACAGCATGCATGGTCTTTAGCGTGCCCAGTGGCTTGTTTCCCTCGAAGTCCGTCTGCGGGGTCCATCCTTGTGTGTGGCCGCAGACCGTGCACTCTCAGGGCTTCACGGCCTTCCATTGTGTGCACGCACTGCCAGGGACCACCTCATCCTACTGCCGACGGGCCCTTGGGCTGCATCCTTCTAGAACGTCGGAGCACGTGTGCTCCGGAGAACACGTGCATGCGCGGCCACGGGACTCAAGGCCAAGCCACCCTCCTGCCCATGGCCGTGCGCGCACGAGAGCGGCTTCAGCGGCTCCTGCCAGCGTCCGCAGCTGCTTGTGGACGTTCCTGCCCCCAGTAGCGTGTGAGTTCGTTGCTGCTGCACATCCTCAGCCACACCGGGTGTCCCTGGGGGACTTTCGTCCTACCCAGGGTGGCACAGGGAGTGTGACTCCTAAAAAGAGGAATCTAAGACAGCAGGGATGGGGGGGGGGGGGGTGGCGCAGAGCATTGGGAGCCCACTCCCCGAGCTTAAAGCCCCTTGTAACTGGCAGAGTTGAAAAGAATAGGAAAGAGCTACATTTCCCTTCTCACAAATGGCTGTGCCCCGCTGGGGAGGGGCTTGGGGACGCACAAATTCAGGAGCTGCGGGAGCAGAAAGGGCGTCCCCCTCTGAAGGTCCCCCTCTGAAGGTGCCTGGCGAGGCCACTGGGGAGGCTCCGCGGGTGTGTTTACATCCAGAGCCTGGCTTTGTTTCGAAACGTTGTGCGGATCCCAGATGCCTCGGCAGTTGGTGCTGGGAAAAATGTGTCAACAAACATGTCACACACATTTGCAGTGTCAGCTGCCTGCAGAGGCAGAATCATCCCTGAAAACACGTGACTTCGGGGATTCTGATTTCAGGGATGCCCTGCCCCCACCTGTCTGCGCCAGGAACCTGGGAGCCGCTTCATCCTCTCTTCCTCCCACCCACGTCTCAACCCTCACCCTGTCGGGACCTGTCCTGACCTTGCGTCTTCCCGGTGGCCCCTGTGGACCGGCCTCCCCACCCCCACCCCGTCAGGCCCACGCTCACTGCCTCCAAACTGCACCCGCGGCCCCCAGAGTGCGCCCCGCCTCCCGCTTCAGATGCAAAGCCGTCAGGCTGGGGGACCATTGGCCGACATGTTGCGTCTTCCAAATTCTTGGCTAGGGGTGCACTCACTCGGTGATGATGGTAATTTGCAAGTGGAGGGCAGGGTCCTGCCAGGCCGTTGAGGTCCCGTGAAGGGGCTGATCAACCCATTTGTCCCCCAAGCATGCGATCCTCATACTCCAACATAATTATTTCACGTGGCTGCAAAAATGAAGGCATGACCCCTGGATCCAATTTCTGGGCTCCAGTTACAATTTCTTATGTCGCCAGGGTCACTCGTGACAGTGCCCACAATTTGTACAGTGATCATTTATCTGTACGATGGTCAGTACACAGCCATTGCGCTGAGTGATGGGTGCAGTCTGACGTCCGTGACATGGGGGAGTGTGGACCTGGTCAGGTAAGACACGTGCCATCACCGTGACCCCCAGGCCTTTCCGCCTTCCTGACCATTCGTCTAGACTAAGTTGCTGCCTCAGCTTCTGCTCTGCCGTCTCACTGGCTGCCGACAAGCACCAAGGGAGGAGCCCCCATTTTGGCAGATATGGACTGTGAAGACCAGAGAGGTTAAGTGACTTGCTCCAGGTTGCACAGCCGCTTAAACCAAAGCCCATCCCCTTCACACTGCACTTCAGGACTGCTGAGCCTGACAGCAAAGCTTCTAGAAACCTGTCCTTACTGGATCCCACTACCCAAAGTCCCAGATACCTTCTGTTCTTAATGTCACACTTTGTCGAACAGGAACACCACCCCCACATCTTCTGCGGTCCCAGATAGGCAGTCAGGCGGCCAGCCCGCCATCCCAGCCGTCCCCCTCCGTGAGCTGCTTCCCCCGGAACCGGTGCTGGCAGTTCGCCTCGACCCTGGTCTCACAGTGAGCTAGATTTCTCAGGAGTCGCAAGGAGGTGCCTGCAAAGGCCCCCACAGGCCAGCCAAGTCTCTGGGTTGCACCAAGCAGACTCGGATCCAGATGCAGCATCAACATCTACAGGCGGATGCTGCCTGCAGGTCGGGCAGAGGATGGAATCTGAGGTCAGCAAGCCCACTTGGAGCCATGCTTCTCCGCCCCTTCCTTGTCTGTGTGACTCGAGGCAGGTAGCTTGACCTCTCTGCTCCTCACTTTCCCCAGTTCTACAGCGAGGAGGGTTACCGTCCCCCGCTACTTACCCTAGATTCACCCATGTGGTCACAAAGCAGAAAAAGCAGCATGAATCTGCCCCAGTTTCTAGCAGTCCAAGGCAAGTTCCAAAGCCACCAAGGAGATCGCATTCTGGGGCCTTCTGATGCAGTGAAGCCGCTATTCGGATTTGCACTGGGTTTACTGCACTGATTATGTCCAGAAGAGAGGTACCCGAGCAGTCTCTAGGCCCAGTCAGTGCCTCCCACTTTTGACGGGCGATTCGGCTGTGGGCTAGTTTCAGATTTACACAGCAGGTGCAGAGACAGTTCCCACCTGTCTTTCCCCAAGTTCACCCAGTGCCCATACCTCCCTCTCCACAGCACCTTTGTCAAAACTAGGACATTAACGAGGGCACGTTCTGTAGTCCAGACCGCATTCAGATTTCCCCACTTTCCCCAGTAATGCTCATTGTCTGGTTCCGGGATCCAGTCCAGGGTCCCACATTGCGTTTGGCACAATCCGTTCTCATAACCAAACCCACCTGCTGGTGATCTTCCTTGTTTTTTGTTTTGTTTTTTTAAATATTTTATTTATTTTAATTTTTAATGTTTATTTTTTGTTTTTATTATATTTTTATTTCTTTTTAATTTTTTAAAATTTTATTTTATTCCCCCCCCACCCCAAATTTACATCCAAGTTAGCCAGCATGCAGTGCAATAATGATTTCAGGAGTAGACCCACCAACGCCCCCACCTATTCAGCCCATCCCCCCTCCCACAGCCCCTCCAGCAACCCTCTGTTTATTCACCATATTTAAGAGTCTGTTATGTTTTGTACCCCTCCCTGTTTTGGTATTATTTTTGCTTCCCTTCCCTTATGTTCATCTGTTCTGTGTCTTAAAGTCCTCATATGAGTGAAGTCATATGATATTTGGCTTTCTCTGACTGACTCATTTCGCTTAGCATAATACCCTCCAGTTCCATCCACGTAGTTGCAAATGGCAAGATTTCGTTCTTTTTGATTGTCAAGTAATACTCCATTGTGTGTGTGTGTGTGTGTATACACACACC